TCCTCGGTATTGTCAACAGCAGACATAATAAGACTGGGAATCCTCAGATTAATCTTTTAAAACAATACACAAGTTTTTCAATCTTACGTTAGTAAATCTATATCCCTGTTTAACTCAATAAAACTCTTATTTACAAATAAAGTTTCTATATATTTTTTTTTTATTTTTATTTATTTATTTAGTATTACAACAATCTGTCACATTGACACTGGTTATAGTGAGATGCTATTTAATTAGTATTTTAAAAATACTTCTTACCAAAGGCAATATCTCTAACTGAACTAAATGGTTTTAAACAGCTTGTAAAACTTTTAATACCAGCCATAAGCATATTCACGTAACAAATATATTATATAAAGGCTTCAAGTTATTTATTAAAGTAGTAAAATTAATTAAATAGGTGGGTACTAGAAATATTGTATAATAATGTCTTAAGATAAAGTGATATTCTATTTTTTTTTCCTGTGCATTTAAAATATTACAATATGTCTCAAAGGGCATTTGTAATCGTGTTCAGATATCACATTCACATTCTATGTACAATAAAAAAATAAATTATACAGAAAAATAATATATATACAATAAATAAGTATATATATTAACGTAACAAATATATTATATAAAAATAACACATATATGCCTATATACATTATTTACAATCAGGCGAGAGAACTCCGAGCCAGACTTCTCCCTCCAACTGTAGAGGGAAAAGCATGACTCCAGGAGATCCCTCAGGAGATACACTCATGTCGTGAGTGGAGAATCTAGCCATTGCCAGAACTCCAATATCTACAAACTATAAAAGGTCGCGAGACCACTGCCGTTTTAACCTTCTTGGAGGATTATAGGGATGGTGCAAAGGGGTTCGGATGCTAGGTAAGGTTCTGATGAAATTTGGGAAATTTTGCTGGGATAAGTTCTAGGACAAATGGAATATTAAGGTTATGGTGTACGGTTTTGTTGGTTACATAGAAATTAGCATCGACTATTGTTCGAAGGACTTTGGACTGGAAGTGTTGGATGCGTTTGATGTTTTGGCAGTGTCCTTCCCACCGACTCACCCGGGCTCAAGGTCAGTGACAAATCGGTTTATATCCATGGATTATCACCGCTCGGAGTCAGCAGGCGCACAAGGACCTACATTTCTTTCCCCGAAACATGGGCCTACCTCAGGGGGACTACTAACATCCTGTTAAACCACATCCCGATTCCCGATTAAGTACACGGGATAGGATCATCAGTCATAAGCTCGGTCGGTGTGAGTTGCCTCCAGTAGGCTGACGGGTCTCACATAACCGGGAGTGAGGGAGAGAGCCTCGGGCAGCTTGGCTTTCCCTGGTGGACTGTCACCCAAATCGGGCGGTCACCCATCCAAGTACTCCAACACAACCATTCGTAATTTATATTTATTTTTTAAAATAATTTTTATTTGGACATTTCGGAGAAACTATCCTCTTCTCGCTTTAGTATTTATAGTTATATAATTAATATAATGTATTATATATAAAAAATATTAGATAAAGAAAAATAGACGATAAAACGAAAAAGGAAAGAAAATGTAGTCATTAAGTGCCTATTCTCTAAATAGGTGCCCTAACCCTAAATGTACTTAGGTCTTTAATAGGAAGAATGTTTGATTATATATATATATATATATATATATATATATATATATATATATATATATATGTAAGATTGAAAAACTTATGTATTGTTTTAAAAGATTAATCTGAGGATTCCCAGTCTTATGATGTCTGCTGTTGACAATACTGAGGAAAAAAATCGTTCAAACAATACGATAGCATTAATAAACCAGAATCGATTATCTGGCTCATGATTGCATCTTAAAGAATGTTTTTTTTTATCCATGAAAATTACAACTGTATACAAATAATAGTGATACAGAGAAACACAATGGCATGAAAAGACTTGTAGAGGATTTACCCACTAGTAGCATTCTGATATTGAAGAATGTAAATATTTAATGTAAAAAAATAAAAGTTGAAATCAGTGTAAAACATATATTTGTGTTCGATGTATTTTTCTAATAATATTTCAAATGAAATTTTCGTTCTTGATTGCCTTCAATACATATAACGACTAACCTATTTTATGTACAAAATGCAAGAAAATGGAAAGAAAATATCGATAATTTTGACGCGTGAAATTCAGTTAAAATGTTTGTAAGATGCGTTATAAATACTTTTTTTAATGAAACTAGAATATATATATCTGAAGCTTTTTCCACCAATACTTATTTCCCCCCCACTCCTGTTCATAGGTAAAATATAACAAAACAACCACTCGTAATTTATATTGATTTTTTAAAATAATTCTTATTTGGACATTTCGGAGAAACTTTCCTCTTCTCGCTTTAGTATTTATAGTAATATAATTAATATAATGTATTATATATAAATAATATTAGGTAAAGAAAAGGAAAGAAAATTTAGTCATTAAGTGCCTATTCTCTAAATAGGTGCCCTAACCCTAAATGTACTTAGGTCTTTAATAGGAAGATTGTTTGATCATATATATATATATATATATATATATATATACACTGACAGGCAAAAAATTCCACCCACTTGTAAAAAAAGTTTTATTTGTATATAATACATGGTCTTTGTAGATAATACATAGTATTTATGGAATTTTATAATCTTTTTTACCTTTAATAATCAAAATGTGATTGAATAAGATTAGAGAAAAAAAAATTGAAAAACGAACCATTATTATTCTAAAAGAAATTAATTACATCATCGTTTAATAGCACGTGTTTCCTCCTCTTGCCTTCACTACTTCTTGATGTAGTGAATTAATAGTGTGAACCCACACGCCGCGCGACATGTCGGCGTGCATTATCGTGCATTAGAATAGAACGATCGCCGATTTCGTTGAGGATAGGCAACACATGAGGTTCCAAAATCTCATCTACATAGCGAATGGCCGTCAAAGACCCTCCACGAACAACTACCAATTCTGTGCGGCGCTCCATTGAAATCCCAGCCCACACCATTAAGGAACCACGTTGGAAAGATTGGCTCTGGAAAAATTACAAGCTGCATATCTTTCGTTTCTTCTTCTCCACACCCTTTCACGCCCGTCTGGAGATCGAAGAGCGAATCTTGACTCATCTGTAAAAATTACAGCACTCCATTCGTCCAAGTTCCAATGGCTGTGTTCTCGAGCAAAAGCCAGCCGTGTTACTCTATGAGTTATGGTCAACTCTGATCCTCTTACTGGACGAAAAGCCCAGTTAAACTGTAGAGTCTAGCCACTCCTGTTAGAATCCGGTCAGGGCGACTTAAAATTTATTTTGTGGGGGTCCCACGGGTTGAATTCCGACCTTCCCACTCTGGTCGGACTGGTTTGGTTGTATCTCTACACAGAAATGGTGAGGTAGATAGGATTTTATCCGAAACAAGGTGCGAGAGGAAGAAACTGAGGATGGCAGCTGCTGTCAGGCATGACCGTCAGGGCTCACACTATTAATATGGCTTAGTTCTGGATATTCTGAGGTACGAGTCTTCTGGTTGGAATCTGAATCTTTCGTGTCACTAGAAGAGCAGGTTGGCATCGATTCAGCTGATGGCTCTGCTGCGACTCACCTTCACTTACAGGATATTGTCCAATGAGACAGAACAGGTCGGTCCTGGCCGGAAAAATATCTCCCGATCTCCTACTGTAGCAAGAAATATTCACGTATCAGATGTTAAGTCTCAGCAGGTATACCGGAGGATTTCCGCGTGTGGATTAATCAGGAAAGATGGGAGATGATAATGCGAGTGTACACCCTCGACAACCGGTGGTGGGTAACAACTACGAGATTACTCTGATGAAATATTTTCCAACTATCGGTTTCCGGTTTTCAGCGAAATATATACAACCTGATTATTGGGTCTGTCAACTAGTCACTGGACATGCGGGATTCCGAGAAAATATCTGTCAACTCGTAAATAATATCGAACCTAGTTGCGGAGTACCAGAGACTGCAGAGCAGAATGTCGCATCCTGTACTGCCTATGAGTAATTCACCTTAGCTAATGAGTGCGGGAAACCATCTGCACTTCAAGTATTTCCTATCAGGATGGAAAAAAAATTATATACCCAACTCTTTTCTCTTTGGAAAGAAGAGGAGGACAGAAAAGACAGAAGCCAATCTTAAAGAAATACGATAAAGTTGTGTGCCCAAATTGCATGTGAAACATATTACTGTAGCTAAAACCAGTATTGCTTATCAGGCACGGAAGGGTTGTAGATAAATAACATTTATGTATGAAATTTTTTACCGCTAAGTTTTAGTACTCTTCACTAGAGTCAAATCAGCTTAAATTCGGTATTTAGAGTTTTTCCCAAGGCACAATTATACGATAGAAATATGGATAGCAGGACAGACCCTCTAAATTACCAAATAAACTCCAAGATTAGTATATAACTTGAGTTACTGTTAGAATAAATACTTTTGTAGAGTTAGAATGTTCGAAGGACCTGGACAACAAGAAAGCATTAGCTTCGAAAAGTTGAATAATGCCACTTCAACTGGGCCTAGCAACAGAAGACATAAAAGTGCCTGAGAAACTCTAAGATTAATCTTATCAAACGATTCACAAGCTTTTCAGTCTTAAAATATTAAATATATATTAATCTGTATTATTACTTATCTCGATATAAGTTTTCTTACATAATAATTCAATGTAATTAATAGTAAAGCAACGGCTCTTACCTAAGGCACTATTACCAACTGAAAATATGTACCAATAAAAATAATGGATCCTAAGAAATCTTAGATACTTATGTTACAACCCAGCACTTTTTAAACGAAGAGACAAGAACCCTTAATAAAATTCCAGGCGTTGTTTAGGGCCCCTGAGACGCTAAGTGTACTCGTGTAGGATATAATTCAAGTTACTAATCGTTACTTAGATAGTGGATGGTGTAGCGGTCATTACAGGCTCCTTGCAGATAAGGATACCGGTCTACGTACTCCTCCCTGGGCGATGACCTCGGTCACAGCTGCGGAAGTCTCTCCCCGTCGTCGAGTTTTTCTTGAGGACCATCTGTGGAGGATCTGGTTCCGTCGTAATAATAGCTACCTCCGGAACAGGGTCACGTCAGCCCGAGGTATTAGGCCACTCCGGCTTCGACATCTTGCTCAACTACTTAACTAAGTACACCTCTGTATCTAGTCATCTGCTTCGTATTCCACAAAATTATTCACGATGTGTATTGTCACGAAGTTGTGATATTTCATAATATTGAAATAATAACTAAAAAAATTAAAACGACCAATAGAAATCCCATCTGGCACTACGAAAGTTGTAGGAGTCTATGAATCTGAGGAGTTTTTCCTTTGAAATACTAGGAATTAATTTCAGTAACTATCATTCCGATTTGCCGATTTGAAAAATTATTTTTACTTCATACAGAGATTATTCTAAGGAAGGCGTTAGACTTTATAGAATATCGCCTGGAGGTCTAAATATAGAAGAAAAATATCGACAGCCTAACTTCAAAAGTTGTAAGTGCAAAAACTGTTTTATAAAAAAAAAACACACTATTTCTTATTTTATGAATTATATTTTCCGTTCAATTATTTCTACATGCTTAAGACAAAGGTCTGACGTTTCAAGCAACGTTTTTATTTTGAATAAATGAAAATGCATGAGGCAAATATTTACCAAAAGAGCCCATAACGTTTTTTTAATCGTTGAAACATGAGGGGCAAAACTTAAATATTTATATAAAGCTTCCAAACAAATATTAATTTATTCATTAATAAAATAAAACAAAAAATTCTATTTAGACATTTCACAAACTATGGGACACATATCTAAGTGCTTTTTTCACTATGCTAATATTTTTTTTATTTTTTTTTATATTTTCCATCTGCTTTTCAAGAGAAATAAAATAAATAATTTGGTATTGCAATTATGTCGCTGTTAGATAAAGTTAGATGATGGTGTTTCCCATAGTGAAATGTCTTTAAACATATTGAAAACGATTAAAAAGTATGAAATTAAATCAATATCAAGTGAATTACTAAAACTCTATATAAATGTTAACATAAATATTAAAAAGGCAGAACTAGGGAAAAATTATTTAAATTGCTCAACATAAAAAAAACTAATAAAAGTGAATGAAACCTATAAAAAAAATTAATCATTCATCATAAATCAAATTCAAACCGGGATTCACGTCTTTCGTTCTATCCAGTTTATTCTTTAATAATTTACATCAGACCGGGCAAAGTGTATTTAAAATATATTATAAAAAAATACAACTTTTTTTTAAAAATACAGTGAATTTTTATTAAAGATATTTATATTGTCAACATAAAATATATTTTAATTAAAAACAAAACAAAATGAAATACAATATACTTTATAGTGGACGATCAGAATATAGTACTGGGAATACCTATTCAATTTGGTAATTTATTTTGTGTATTTACAATACAAAAAAGAAACAAAAAATTGTATTTTAGAATTTTGGAAATAAAAAATTAGAAATACTGCCCAAGTCTGCTTTACATCAGCCTTGGATGGAACTTGTAATTGCGAGACCCTCCTGCGGCACACTCTCTATTGAAAATAAAATACTTATTTACAAGACAATACTGAAAACTACTTGGACTTACGGACTTGAACTGTGGGGAACAGCAAACTTTTCTAACATCAAACGCATCCAATCCTTCCTGTCCAAAGTCCTTCGAACAATAGTCGATGCTCCTTCCTATGTAACCAACGAAACCCTATACCATGACCTTAATATCCCATTTTTCCTAGACCTTATTGCAGTAAAATTCTCCAAATTTCACCAGAACCTTACCTATCATTCGAACCCCTTTGCACAATCCCTATCCAGCACCACCCATTCCTATAATCCTCCAAGAAGGTTAGAACGGCAGTTGCCCCGCGACCTTTTATAGTTCGTTAATATAGGAGTAATGGCAAAGGCCAGATTCTCCACTCACGACATGAGTGTATGTGGCTAAAGTACTCTTGCTCAATCTCCACTGGGTTTAGCCCCAGTGACGCGGTTGAGAGAAAAGTACAGGGATCTTCTGGAGTCATGCTTTTCCCTCCACAGTTGGAGGGCCAAGTCTGGCTCGGAGTTCTCTCGTCAGATTGTTAATATTGTATATAGGTATGTATGTGTTCTTTTTATTTATTTTTAGGTTATTTTATTCTTATTTATTGTATATATATTATTTTCCTGTATAATTCATTTTATTTATTGTATATAGAGTGTGAATGTGATCTCTGAACACTATTATAAATGTCCATTGAGCCAGAATGTAATATTTTTCAATAAAAAAAAAATATATATTTGTAGCTATTTCACATATTCGATTTTTTAGCATATCAATAAATTGTCTCCGTATTTCGGTGTGCATGTATCTCTTTCGAACTTTTACATACAGCCTAATCCGTTTTTCCCTAATAATTCAACCGCTTATCTTTTCATGTAAGCCTTGTTAGTTTTTATTTTATTACTTTTAATCATTCTTTGAAAGAGCAAAAAAAAAGCGTGTTTATTGTGTAATCCGTCAACGGTTTTCGTCATGTCTCCGATTTCGAAGGATCTCGCAACGACAAAGGTGAGTGATCGAAGGAACCAACACATCAGCTAGGCGGCTTGCGGCGCGCCATCCCTTAGTTTGATTAGACCCTTTCTTATGACCACATTTGGATTATCAGACCTGAAACCATTTAATCTTGGAATAAAAGGTCTCCTCAGTACTAAAATCTTTACGTTCTCGGCTATTCACTGATTCATAGAATGAATTCATCAAAAATTATGTTCTCTGATTTTAATAACTTAAAATAAAAAGTAATTCATAAATAATATTTTAAAAAATGTTTGTTAATCATTTTGCTTCGTAGGGATATACCCCCCCCTCTCTCTCTCTCTCTCTCTCTCTCTCTCTCTCTCTCTCTCAAAATAAAATTTTGCATAATAGCTCATTACAAAGAGGATGAAATAATGAATATTTCCCTAGCTAACTATATGCAGGACCAATTTATCGTTTTTAGTTTATTTTAATCCATATGCAAAAATGGATAATTCATGGTCTCTCTGATAATTCATTGTTTTTACTTATTTTGACATTATATTGCCGTGTTCATTAACCCAATATACTCTCCAAACTATACGCACGGCCCAACTAGTAACTGGTTTTTAAGAAATATATGATTTATTTACTTTTTAATTTTGTAAACATAATTATAAAGTTTGTTTTTTAGAATGCCTTATTACATCGAATCCAGAGTAGAAATGTCTGGAGAATGATAAATCGGGCTGTTACATCTAGGCTGTCCTTCATGGTTAGTTACTATTGGTAATAAAAACAGATAACTATTTATAATATGATAACGAGGATGAAAAGCTGAACAATTCCCTCGCTTACAGTATGCAGGTCCGATGTTTAGTTTAATCCATATCTTCAATAAAACTCCTTATCGTATGGTTTTAGACACTATTTTTTCCTTGTTGCCTCCGTTGGCGGCGTTGCGTAAAAATAAAATTTTGCATAATAGCTCATTACAAAGAGGATGAAATAATAAACATTTCCCTAGCTAACTATATGCAGGACCAATTTATCGTTTTTAGTATATTTTAATCCATATGCAAAAACAATTAAATTAGTCAACCGATCGTTACGCATCGGAGATCTGACGGCTCAATCTAACTCACTCTCCACAACAAAAGAACAAAACGCGCCTAAAGAAGATTTCATTTAAAAAAATAACACCTCTAAATAGTTATCCATCTCCAATAATTTGTTTTACTTTCATTTATTTATTTATTCTGTTCAATAAAAAAAAAAAAAAAAAAGGTTAACGGTACCAACAGACGTGGTTAAGGGAAAGATTTGTGTAGGGTACAAATTCCTAAAATAATCTCGATATTGTGGTGCCATTGACTTTCTGCAATTATCCGATCATATATTTTTTTCCTTCTAAGGTATTTTTACACCCAATTTTCCAACCCACTTTATATCTCACAATGAATGCAGAATACTTTCCACAAGATAAGAAACACGAACTTGTACAACAGGTGGTTTAACAAGGTATTCGAACACGTAATGTAAATTGTTTTAGAATATATATAAACAAATTAATAATTTTTTATTTCTCTTATGCCAGTCGTTGGTCATTTGGCCATCCGAAGTCTTGCTGCCCAGTATAATTTAGATTTTTTAATATATATATTTGAAAATATTTTTTCTTTCATGTCCCTCAAGGCAGGACATGCATCTAGATGGTCTGCATCCATTGTTCCTAGATGACACAATTTACAACTAGGATCCTCAGCGACGCCTATCTTGTAGAGATGACTCTGCAGATAGTCGTGACCAGTGGCCAGGCGGAAGCAGGCAACTGCGTCTTTTCTCGGCAGTTCAGCTGGAATCGGATTATCCTTCAAAATAATAAAACAAGACTCCATGAAAATGAAGTTTATTTATCAAAAACAACTAAGTAATGATAAAATACGTTTGTATTTGATGAATAGTTGATTTTAAAACATCCTTCTTGAGGACAACCAGGAATTATTTTCTATTGATTCCTTCTTAATTCCAAGAAGAAAACTGAAAGCCTGTTAAATAATATATACCCTGTGTACTAAATTGTACGAAATTATTTTATATTTTCAAAAGAACTGAGTGTGGGTATGTGGGTATAAGTAATGGGTACAAGTTAAGTATGGCCATCAGTAGAATATACTATCGATATTTCGATATTTTTCTTTCTATATTCGATATTTTACCATCGATAGTATCGACTTCGGTATTAGCTACTATCGATATTGTGCTTTTGATATTTTAATATAAAAATTAAAATTAAAATTATTATTTTCGGAAATCGCTAGGAAATATATATGGATCTGATCATTAGAAAAAAAATTATACTCATCTTGCCTGTTTCACAAAAATTTACTGCGTAGTAAAGGAGAATACAGAGATTTCGATAATAACGACTATCGATCGCCATACCTAAGTAGAGTTGAATAGCAGGTATGGAACCTTTTCACTCAGTAAACTCGCCCAAATTTGTTACATTTGAAACCTTCTTTAACCGATGGATTGTCAAAGAAATCTATGTAGAATGCAAATAAAT